TTATTAAAAAAAAATTAAGTGTTGTTAATAACTTTAACAATTAATTCTTACAATTTAATAGCTAAATCTTTTTTTTTATGTCACGAACACACATTCCGCCTAACTTATCCAAATACATGAGTAGATGGGAACCAGTACGGGATAGAAGTGCTAATATGCAAAAACAATTTATTTATTTGTCGGACGTGCCGGGCTAGCAGGTCTATCCTGGCATTCTTTTTCCTTGGACAATACCGTAGAGTAAAGTCTGGAAAAGACGCCCGTAGAGCCTTCATTTCGTCGAGTTCCGTCCGGAAACGCGGCCATTGCTCCGGCGCCTGTACCATATTAACTAACTCCTGCGAATCTGTCACAAATAAATCACAGTATCGCCTTTTCTTCTCCAAACTCGACATCGCCCATAACAGATTAAGGAGCTCCGTATGTAAAGGGGATACGCTCCGTCGTATGCCTCGAAGCCCTACGAGGTCAACCACTCCATCCTGTAGCTCCAGACTCCATCCAACACCATACGTAGGATCCTCCTCTTTCCACGAGCCATCGAAGTAACTGGTGAACGTAGCCAGTGGCAATGTTGGGGTAGCGTGCGCCTGTTAATTTAAATCTGATGTAAGTTAATTTTAAATATTAAAGTGTAACATAGGGATGATCAGTTTCAATAAAATAAACCAATAATATTTTAACCAATTATCTTTTTTTTTTGTGATATCTACCAAAAATTATAATTCCAAATTAAATGTGTTATTGTGAACTTTTAACGGTTTGAAAAATATAAATTTTATTTATTAAATCCAATAATAAAATATATAAAAACATTTAAAACTTTAGATAGATAAATACGATTTAAAAACAAAAAGTCACAAAAAACTTTAATAAAAACAATTGTTACGTTAACAAAAAAAATGCATGGTATGAGAAAATTAAATAGTGATTTTAGAAATTTTAATATTTTTAGAAATTTCTAACCAAGACTCTCGAAAGAAAATCTTACTCCACCATATGAGAAAATTAAATAGTGATTTTAGAAATTTTAATATTTTTAGTAATTTCTAACCAAGACTCTCGAAAGAAAATCTTACTCCACCATAAATTGTGAATCCAGAAAAACATAATAATTCACCAATAAATCGATGTAAAAGTTAAAAAAACGTAGCAAAGCAATAACAAGAGTGAGAAAAAAAACAATCAAGCATCAATTATTCTCTCCTTACAATTTAAGGTTCTAACAAAATATAACACAAAGATGCATTCCAACAACTTTGTTGAGATGATGCAGATGTCTCGATACAAGCAAAACATACTACAACTTGTCTGATCAATAGATATTTATTCTTATAAATGTAAATGATGCAAGAAAAAAGACGACTAATCATTTTTTTTAGGGAACTGTGGTGAATATTAATAAAGACATACGAGTTGCGGATTTGTGCAAAAGACGATACAAAAGAAGATATCTTTTGCATACGCTGTAATTTTTATTAAAAAATAATCTATTTCTTTTCACATATATCATTATATATGTCAAATAATTTGCTCCAAATGCGTAATCTGTTAACTTATATAATTATTTACTACAACAACTTTTTGTAATATTAAATACACAGATAATCAGTAAGTTAAAAAATTGTTGTCTATTTTACAATGTTAATTTTTAAATCAACGCAAAGCGTGGACAATCTCTAGTAATATAATATTTTAAGGTTTCTTCTAAGTGAAGCTTTTAGAAGCTGTCACGTGTCACGTTTGATGTTAAATTTTTTTCATTTTTAGTACCTTATCTTTACTTAAGTTTGATTTTTGTCCCTCTAGATTTTAGAATTTTTTCATTGATTCTTTAAAATCTAATATAATATTTTAAGGTTTTCTCTAAGTGAAGCTTTGAGAGGCTGCCACGTGTCACTTTTGGTGTTAACAATTTTTCATTTTAAGTACCTTATTTTTACTTAAGTTTCACATTTATCTCTCTAGATTTTCGAATTTTTTCATTGATTCTTCAAAATCTAATATAATATTTTAAAATTTTCTCTAAGTGAAGCTTTGTGAGGCTGCCACGTATCACTTTTGATGTTAACAATTTTTCATTTTTAGTACCTTATTTTTACTTTAGTTTGACATTTTTCTCTCTAGATTTTATAATTTTTCGATTGATTGTTTAAAATAAAAATGTGGTATCAATATATTAACTTGAAGTAAACATTTAATTAACATCAAGTTATCTTCATAAATTAATTAAAAATATGTAAAACCATATTCTAAGAGATAATTGATTCTTTTATATCTCTTTTCAAATTCTTTAAATTTTTCTTAATTTAGAATTTTTGAAAAATTATCATATTTAAAAAATATATA